GAGGTGGACTTGCTGGTGTGTTTTGGATCATTGTTCTGCAGCAGAACCCAAGTGTGCTTCAGCTTGAGGTCACGAACAGATGGCCGGACATTCTCCTTCAGGATGTTTTAGTAGACAGCACAATTCATAGTTTCATTTACTACAGCAAGTCTTCCTGGTCCTGAGGCAGCAAAGCAGCCCCAGACCATTACGCTGCCACCACCATATTTTACTCTTATATTCCTGTACGATGTTCCTTGTCTGAAATGTTTTCCCAGCCTACTTTTACATCTGATGTAATGGGAAACGCACCTTCCAAAAAGTTTAACTTTTGTATCGTCAGTCAGTAGCCACGAGCCTCCACAAGCCTTTTTGGTCAGCAGTGGTTTTCTCCCTGAACTCTCCTGTGGATGCCATTTTTTCCCAGTCTCTTTCTTATTGCTGAATCGTGAACTCTGACCTCAACTGACACATGTGAAGCCTGTGGTTCTTGAATGTTGTTCTAGAGTCTTTTGTGACCTCCTTGATGAGTTGGCGATGTACTCTTGGAACAGTGATAAACCTTCCCAGGAGTGATTGGCCTACCAAAATTAAATTGTGGATAATGGCTCTCACCCTGGTTCACTGGAGTCCCAAAACCTTAGAAATGGCTCTGTAACCCTTTCCAGACTGATAGATGTCAGTGACTAGCATGATGTGTTGCTTTTTGAGCTCTTTTAGCCTGCTTCACTCAAGATTTCTTTGATGATCTGAAATATGTAAGTGTGACAAATATGCTGCTGTGGCAGTTCTTCGTGTTTTTCAGCTATTTCAAATCTTAAATTCATTGTCTTGAACTGCAGCTGGCGACAGTAATGCTTGCTCTGCTCTGTAGATCTGCTGCAACCTGGAGGGCCCCTCCAACCAGAAGCTGCCTCAGATGGTGCTGAGCTCACATATGCACATTAACAGCTGCAGTTCAAGATGGTGGAGTTGAATCCCTTGGGACAATTGAGATTTTATTTGTGTAAAAAATAAATAAATAGCAAGTGTGTGCATGTATGTATGCACACACTTGTACAATCACCCTCTGTCCAAAGTCATTTCTGTGGGCAGCACTCACCTCTCTCCAGCTACCACCTACATTTCCTCCAGAAGAACACTAAGGTGTTTCTCAAGCCAGCTGTGAAACTCTTCATCAAAGATGCATCCAAAAGGGATCCTAGTTAAATGCTCAAACCACCTCATTTGTCTCCATTTAATATAATGCAGCATGTATTCGGATCCTAAGGATCAGACTACATGAACCCCTGACACTGTGAGCTTATTTGTTCCACCCAAAGTTGTGGCCATACTGTAGGTAAGGGAAGGAATGTGTATGGACCAGCTATGTCTTAATGATTACCTCTTTACCACAGTATAGCAGTATAGTGTCTGCATCGCTGGACTTACTATAGTCTTGTCAACACATGTTTAGTAACCAAATCACAAAAATCTGTCTGAAAGAAAAGTATCTGCTTTTCGACTTTTTGGGAGGAAATGTTTTTCCAGCCTTGAATTATTTTTGCAAAATTAAGGATGCAGATTGAATTAAAGGATTTTTGGCAGTTATGGCTCAAGAGATAGAGCTTGTTTTCTTCTAATTGGAAGGTCAGAGAGTTGACTCCTGGCTCATCCATCCTGCATGCATACTACCCTCAGTCAAAACACGGAACCCCAAATTGCAGTGATGCGTACAAGGGTGTGTTAATTGGTGAATATAGCTTGAAGGGTAAAGTGCTTTGAATGTTATATGTTACTAGAAAAGGTCTATATAACTGTCAGTTCATATAAAACCAGTTGTAATCTATGGAAAGAAATATTAAACTCAGTTGCGCATGCTTTCTCTCAGAAGGAAAGTATGTGAAAAGCAAAGAAATGATATTTTGTCTTTTACTAAATGAGCTTTCAGCTGAATTGTTTTGCAATGTTACAAAAGATGTTGTATTAATTTTCCCCCCACTTCATCAGCCTCCCACAATAAGTTAAATAGAAGGAAAATAGAACCTCCTGCAAATATTCGAAGTGAAATATTTTCTGCATTTTTTCCCTGACCCTCCTACACACATTTGACCATGAAGTGAGTGACATGCTTGAGTAAACATTTGAAATGCTTTCTGTCCATTTAACAAAAGAGCTTTATATAACAGAGTCATTGTGAAAACAATTTCAAGTGCTTTGAGAGTACACTGAGTATACTGAGAGTTTGAAAGCATTTTGGCCAATCAAAATTACCTAGTATCATCTGCACCATTAAGTAATTCCAAAAGGTCAAAGAGTTGATCCTGGCAGTCGGTTTTCCCGTCAAAGTGTTCATAAATAGCTCGAGTCTGCTCGCTCATTGTACGATAAGTGACTCGGCTAAAACATAAAAGATGCTTCAGCAGCTGTTTCAAACAAAACAAAGTTGGATGCTCTTGACAATAACAGATGAAAGGTATGTTTTGGCATCAACTGCTTTTGTCCCGTTTGAAAGGTTTTTAGCAGTTAAAATTGGTTCCTAGTGTTCAAGCTGCCAAAAAACAAATGGATGTTTTCAAATCTGCTGTCACAGTATGTATGTTTATATAACAATTTATACATTTTTTTTTTTTTTTTTTGCTTTGTGACCTTTGAGACGTTTAGCTGTCTCCCACACAAACATCCAGCAAGGTGCCATTTCATAATCTTCTCGACTTTTCTCTCCCTCGGTGTGTTTCAGGTGTTCTCCCAGTCCTTGTGAACACGGCGGTCCCTGCAGTCAGTCCTGGACTGTCTTTCACTGCAACTGCTCTGACAGTGGCTACAGTGGAGCGACCTGCCACAGCTGTGAGTCACCTTTCAAGCAGGGAGA